CTGATCGACAAACTCACCATCTTACCCACTGGTATTTTAGTGTGAAATATGAAAAAGAAAGTGGTAAGCTGCAGCAACAATTATTTTTTATTTCTAAAATAATATTTTCAAAAACGTCTTAGAGTCCTCCCGCCCCTACAAACTAACGTTGTAGTAATGTATTAATCAGTATTCATCTAGAGGGGATAATATGTATATATGTGGGCCTTTTTTTGATACCCCTTTTTAATGTTTTGATTGTTTTGTGTTTTTTTATTTTTTTTGTTTTTCATCTTTTTGAATTTTTTTCCAGAATTTTGAATTTTTGAATAAAATAAACAATAAATGTTTTGAATAAAATAAAATATACAATATAAAAAGAATGCCTGTACTTTTATTTTCTAAGGCTTTAGAAAATGTCCTTAGAAAATAAAAATTGTGGAGTAGCCCATTTTTTTGCCTGGAGATATTGTATGCCCCTCTGCCCAGAAAATACATTTTTAAACATAATCCAGGACCTATTATTTTCAGGCAAGTTTCTGAGGCCCCCCCTGAAATAAAAGGGAGACCTCCCAGCTATGGAGAGAAAGTTTGCATTCTTCTTTCTGCCCTGGGGGGCTCTGCATTTCAAAGCTCAGATTTAGCAATGGTTGTAATTATCTTTTCCATGGAGTTTCTAAAAGCTGCAGGTGTGTCTTTCATACAGTAGGCTGTTAACACCTCAGTTAGCAAGAGGAAAAAGTAATGTCAAAAGCTGAATTCCTTCAAATCTGTGGATTTGGGGGGGAGGGGGCATTTTACCTTTCACATTTAGACTTTCTCTAAAAATCTCTGATTCAATTCAGCTAGTCTGAGTCAAGATAGAAGTGAGGTTTCAGGTTACAGTACTTGGTTTAAAACCCTAACCTATCCACCTCTCAAAATGCTTGGAAGTATTAGAAGTTGAACACACCATCATGTGGTCTGGATGCACAGATGGGTGAGAAATTAAAAGCAGGGGTGCTTGAACATGTGAGTATTCTTCACTCAGTTTCATAAATCAGAATCATGTTAACTGAAGCCTCTCTGAATCCAATTTATTCTGAGTCCCTGGTTTACTTTGTCTCTTGCTGCTTCCTGTACTTCCTCCTTCTTCTAAGAGCTAAAGGAAGCTTTAGTGCAATCAGGTAGTTAAGGCTGAATATATATATATTTTTAATAGGAAAGGATTTGGAAGACTTTCCTTTGGTGTAAATAACCTTTTGAACATTTTATCTGACCAAGCTATCAATAAGGTTATCGTGTCTAGCTGAAAAAGGACACGCTTGGCAATAACTTACAGCCTATAAAAAGCTGAGTCAGTTTCTATCATCTATCATGCTATCAATTTTATTGCGGTTGTTGTTTTGCGATGAACTTTGAACCACTATGCTCTTCAACCACTAGAATCAAATCTTTGAGGAGACAAAAAAAAAATCCTTAAAAGCATCAGTAACACCTGAGATGCACAGTTGCATTCAGTAGTAATCATTTTCAAAGTGAACAGCTGGATGTTTGTCCAGCCCTGCTTGGAAAGAAAACAGATTCAGCACATGGATGGAATTTGCTTTAATATCAGATGTTGGGAATACGCAACAGGATATGGATACTTCGTATTAATACTCAGAAGCCGAACGCCTTGTGCTTTTTTGTAGCTTCTGATATTTCTGTGAAGATGGTACAATTTACATATCTATCTTTCATGGAATAAGTATAGTAACATATTACTTTATTTGCTAGATTTTTGGTTTACATGTAAAAAGAAATATTTGTCTATATAACTACCGGTAGTACAAGTGTGTGTATGGTTCCCATGGACCCACAATTCATTGACTTACTGTCATTTTTGATGGGGTTATCACACAGAAATAAACTAGACAAGTTTATTCCAATCTTGCTGAAAAACTAAATAAGAGAAATGCTTAATATTACACAGAAGGTTCTTTCTTATTCAAATCACAGCAACATAACATTTCTAACTTAGATTTTATTTTATTGCCACTATAAATGCATGTTTAATTGGAAAGTAGATCACTTATGAAATCTCCTTTTTCTGCCCTGTGTTTTACATCTTTAGTCCACAAATGCCGAATGTAGCTTTACAAATAGTCCTTGACTTACAACCACAATTGAGCCCAAAATTGGTGTTGCTAAGTGAGAAATTTGTTGAGTAAGCTTTGCCCAATTTTACGACTTTTCTAGCCACATTTGTTAAATGAACCATTGCAGTTGTTAAGTTAGTAACACAGTTGTTAAGTGAATCTGGATTCCCCATTAACTTTGTTTGCCAGAAGGTTGCAAAAGAGGATCACATCACCCCTGGGCACTGCAACCATCATAAATATGAATCAGTTGATAAGCATCTGAATGTAAATGACATGCCCGTGGCAATGCTACAATGGTCATAAGTGTGGAAAATGGGCATCAGTCACTTTTCCCAGTGCTGTTGTAACTTTGAACACCCACTAAATGAACTATTGTAAGTCAAGGACTATCTGTATAGAGGGTCTGTTTGTAAGGATAATAATATGCTTTGTAACTACTCTTTTGGTCTTTTGGATGCTTTACAAAAATGTATTGGGCGAGCCTCATCATTTCAACACATCGCAGAGGAGTTCCCTTGTGACTTACAACCTAGCAAGTGTCTAGGAATTGTATTTTGTCTTTAAAAAATGTACTTTGCCCTTTCTCCTTGCAGTCAGCCTGGTGGATGAAATAGTGGATGTGTGTATGATTATAGGCATGCTTTCTCCAAAGATCAACATTTGTACACACTTTGGTCACCTTTTATACATAGTGTTATTGACATTAACCAGAAAAGCCACTCTGACAGCAACATACTTTAGCACCGCCTAAAGAGTTGCTCTGCTGCACTTGCAGAGTTTCTTTAAAGCAGTGTCTGGAGGTGGGGGCGGAGAAGGATAGGGGGAATCACAAGCCTAATTGTTTTCCATCGAGTGGAATTGTCTTTGAAGTAAACTGTCCTGAAAAATAAGAAAATTCTCTTGAAGACTGAACGTGGCGCTGTAATTCTGAAAGGAGAAAATAATTAACAATTCTCTTTGTTTTTAAAAACAATATAGATTCTTGCTGTAGGATATGTACTTGGGTGAACATGTGCATGTTCTTTTGCTGGCCAGTGATTGTCCTTAAACCTAAAGAAGCAAAATGTGGTTGAGGTTAAAAGATACATTCTCAAACTTGATTATCCTAAGACAACCAGACAAGCTGTTTAGATTCAGCAGCCCAGAGAATTTGACTACTCCATCATAAATATTTTGTCTATAGAATCTTTAGAACATGGGTCTCCAAACATGGCGACTTTAAGACTTGTGGACATCAACTCCCAGAATTCTCCAGGCAGCATAGCTGGTGAGGAATTCTCGGAATTGAAGTCTACAAGTCTTAAAGTTGCCAGGTTTGGAGTCTCCTCCTGTCTAAAGATCATCATTCTTCTATTTCCTGTGATTTTATCTTCTTATCTTTCCCACTGACTAGTACTCTTGACCACGAGCTCAGTGGACTTCAGTCTACAAGACCTACAGCACTTTTTCTAATAATGCAGATAATTTATTGGTTCAAGTTGTGAAGGATCACTACAATGGTCCCCTTAGTCTGTTCCATAATTCATAGAAACATATTTATTTAAAAGATTTGTATTGCCATCTGTCTTAGAGCATAAATATAGGAAGCTCACGACAACAATAAAATCACAAAAAGTTTAAAAAAAAACAATAAAAAAAGACAAAAACCCTAGTGCCATAGCAAACTTCCTGGGATACCCCCAACACCATTTACACGCTTCTATGTCAGCCCCCCCCCCCAGCATCCCGGGAAGATCCAGCTCTTTATTGGCTTATGAGCTGTGGTGGCGCAGTGGTTAGAATGCAGTACTGAAGTCTACTTCTGCTGCCTGCTGGCTGCTTGCAATTTGGCAGTTCAAATCTCACCAGGCTTATGATTGATTCAGCCTTCCATCCTGACAAGGTCAGTAAAATGAGGATCCAGATTGTTGGGGTCAATATGCTGACTCTACAAACCTTTTAGAGAGGGCTGTAAAGCACTGTAAAGCAGTATATAAGTCCAAGTGCTATTGCTTCTGGATAGCTAAAAAGTTGGGGACCTGTAAAATTGTCAAGGGAAGAGTATGCTTTATGTGAAAGATGAAAATAGAAAGAGAAATAGTCTATGTAAATAATATTTACATTTTTACATTATTCTTTCATTGTGTTTAAGTGAATGTTTACAATATGGATATACCAATTAATTTAAACCTTCATTGTGTGACAGAATTCCTGGTGATATTTCCTATTACACTTAGTGTGTTTGTGGTTTAGCACACTGTGTGAGCCCACTGTATTTTTGCTTTGGTTAGTTTATGATTTAGGATATTATGAGAACCCAAAATGGATTAAATCCCTTAATTATTTCAACAATAATAAGCTGAAGTTTCATCTTGCAGTTTGGTTAATTAAGTAATGCCATCTTAGGTAATATCAGTGTTACAAATGTGAGTTCTGAATACGTTCTCTTCCACTTCTGATACATCCGCTCACAATCAATGTATGGATTTTGCTCCAGCAAATGCCAATATCATTATTTTGCTCACAACATAATTAAGAAAAGTCAGGATGGATGCCTAACCCTGACATATTCTGAAATGCCTGAACTCTCCTTCTCCCCCCCCCCCCCGCTCTTACACACACACTGCATGTGAAACGAAATGAAACTGAGAAGTTTTATCCTTCTTTAAAAATAGGCACATGAACTATTATCATTGGTCATAGGTCTGTAATAAATACTTTTATTCTTCTTTATTTAATCAGATGCAATATATATCTCCTTTTCATGCTGTTAAAATGTATTACTTAAGCCACACAATTCAGGATTATTTCACTATGTTCCCTTGAAGAGAGTAGTTATTTAATGACTGTGGGGTTACCCATTACAATTTCTTGTTCATTTGCTAATTGTGAGTACCTGAATTTATCTATGCTTTTTAGTTAGAAGAATTACGGAATGCATTGGATAAGACCAGGCAAGAACTGGATGCCACTAAAGCTCGCCTTGCCTCAACACAGCAGTCTCTGGGTGAGAAAGAAGCACATCTGGCCAATTTAAGACTAGAACGGAGAAAACAGTTGGAGGAGATCCTGGAAATGAAGTAAGTGCATTTATGTCTCTTGGTTTTTCATTTCAGTTTGCAACATATTCATAGCTCTTCATTTCATAGACAGAAGATTTCTTTACCAAAATGAAAATGAATTAAGCTAAATGACAGTAAGTAATAATATTGAGCTACAGAAGTTGGGCCAGAATATTTTGCTATTTACAGGTGGCAATAGAAGGAAACACTTCTTGAAAATTAGTTTGATATGCATGTATAAGCAGACTTGAAGTAAGCAAGCAGCCAAGAAGTTTTTAAGCACAATAAATAAACTAGGTTCATTTAGTGCTAAAATGTATTATTTAATTAAAGGAAGCCATGCATTTGATATTGAGACACATTGATTCGTAGGTAAAATTCTATGCCATAATACAACATTATTTACCTGTCACAATTTATCTGAAGTTACAAAGGATGTAAAATCACTATTTATATTTCCAATAAAGTTTTTTTCCTTGTTGAATACCCACCCATATACTTTCTCACGCAAGCATTCACCCATTGATATATGTTAGTAATCTTCTCTTGAACTTCAGTCCCACATGGACATGAGCTTGCTTCCTTTATTTCTCACTTAAGTGGAAATAAATAATTCTGTGAAGATGATACATTATTATTAGCTTGAGTAATAGTGATAAATAAAGTTGAAAACTACAGAAATAAATAAATAAATGACATTTTTCATTTATTGATCCAATGAAAATCTAGGTATAAGTGATGCATCAAACCTATTTGATAATCATGCTATTGAAATTTCTCTTTGGCCAGGTTTAGTTACTTCTTGTAATGTTGGGTTACATGATGAGTACTATCAAATTCTTGATAGTAGGGTCAAGGGATAGGCAACTCTCAAACAATACTATTCCAAACCAGTGATGATGGTAGTTTTGATATTCTCTATTCTCTGAAAATATGCATTTTGCCACTATATACATAATATTTTTTTTGAGGGGGGGGGGGTATTTTTTTCTTTTTTCTTCAGAAATACTTATTGCATGCTTGAAAGAACTCAGTATATTCAAATAGTTGTTACATTTCTCCTTATGTGATTGTTTCATTAGATTGTGCTATATATCAATGTTCCAAAATAGCCTATCACACTATGAAGACTAAATTCTAAAATTTGTCAAAAATATTTCTTTCTTTCTTTCTTTCTTTCTTTCTTTCTTTCTTTCTTTCTTCTTTCTTTCTCTTTCTTTCTTTCTTTCTTTCTTTCTTTCTTTCTTTCTTTCTTTCTTTCTTTCTTTCTTTCTTTCTTTCTTCTCCAACCACAAACTTATATTTGGAAGAATATCATGTTCCTAACGAAAAAACTATGTTACATACCAACTACGTAGTACAGTGTTGCCCTAGTTGAATTAAGAAGCAAAGACAATTGAAAAACATTTCCCAAAATTTCCAGATAATTTATAGAACCTTAGTATACTATCATTTCCATGGATTACCAAAGGGACCATGTCATAATTAGTTGGCTTTGACCCGAGTTACATAATATTGAGAGGGAAATATATTAGATAAAAGTAAAGTAAAGGTACCATCTCCTTCAAGCTCCTGGTGATATCATGAATATGCCTGTGCAGCTTTTTTTTTGAGGGGGGGAACAATATGGAAATGATTTTCCGCTTCCACATTTTGGAATTATTATTATTTACTTCCTCTCTATTCTACAATACTCATATTGCCTTGAAGTCTCCCATCCAAATAATTGCCTGCCCTGATTTTGCTTACTTCTGAGCCCAGCAAGATGGGGCAAGTGTTATCACCTGCTGATGTCCATATGTAAGAGATGGAATTTTTTATAATTTCTGTCAAATTTACATGCGACATTTTGAATCTATGCATATGTGAGTATAGGCACTTGACAAAGGAGTGTGATTATTGTACAGATGTATGTGTGTGTGTATGTATGAATAATAAATAAATTATTCTGGCTAAATCTATTTTATATCTACATTTTATAAACTATTTCAACACCAGTACTGCAAAAATTGTTTCTCTTTCTTTTATTGGTGTACTTTTATGTAGGTTATATAATCTGCAGTAAATATGCAGTGTTATTTATGTTCTCCACAAAACCTACCTTTGAAAAGTGGAACACTTGGTTGATATTTTACAACCCATGGTGTGCTTTTATTTAACGATGGGATCCATGCTGAGAGCATAGAGAGTTATATCCCAAATTAAATGCAAACAAAACAGCAGGATGTTGATACAACTGTGATTTCCATGGGAAGTAGTTAGGACGTTAATGTGCCCTTCTTGGAACTTGGGTAGAAATTCTCTGGTGACTCCAATTTCTGCTCCATAGATCTGAAAGACAACACATCTTGACTAGCTTTTTTGACACCAGGTTGCTAGCACCATAAAGATTAGAAGAATCAAAGGCTTTGTTCTTCACTAAAATGAAGAGGTTTTATTTAAAAAGAAAGAAAGAAGAGAGACAGAAAAAGAAACAAAAGCCAATAAACTTATCTATCAATAGTTTATTTAATTTAGAGCAGTGTTGTCATCAGTTTAAATGTATATGTTATGGTTAATGTCAAGCAATATTTTGCTAGTAATTTTGTGTCTGCTTATCAAACTGAAATAGTTCAATCTATTCTTAAGACATTCAGCTTTGTTTAAATTATCACAGGCATAAAGCTAGAAACTATAGCAGGTGAACCAATATGCAGGCATATGCTTTGTGTTATGTTTTCAATTTAGAACTTAATTGAGGAGTTACTATAAAAGGTAAGATAACTAGTCAAGCTAAGTCTGAAACATTCACATTTGGTAAATCAAAGCAACTGCATACCCTTCTTCATATTTCTATCTGCTGTAGATGCAATTCTGATGCAAAACAAGTGGATTCGAGAATCTTAAATCTATTTAAGTTTTACATTTCTCTGAACCTGGTGCTGCAGCTATTGGCTTAAACTAACCCCAAAACTAATACAAATTTTAGCATAATCTATGCTAAATTTCAGAATTTGGTCAAAACATGTTAAGAATGTTACCCTTCATGAAAAAATGCATTAAATATTATTTTGTGGTTTTTAAAAAAAAATAGCCGAGAACATGACAGCACAGTTATGAATGAGCACTGCAAATGTGAAACTGATGTAGATTGGAAAGAATGTGTTTTTATCCATCTCTGAGGATATTTTCTCCAAGAAAGTGGGACTTCCTCTCTCCCTTAGGCAGAATTGCTCAGTGGAGCATGATGGGACTATCCAGGAAGTCACTGCTAGTTTTGAATAAGAATATCATGTTTGAGGTACATACATCTGGAGAACCACATGATGGCACTAAAGGGTTCTCTATCTCCTAGCTGCTGTGCCATCACCAGAGTTTTGCAACCAGATATGGAGTGGCTACTTTTGCATATTATTATGGTTCCTTGCACTTATCAGCCAAATATTCAGTGGATTTAGCATTTTTATCCACCTATTGAGTCCTTCCCAAGGACCTGGAATAGGCAGATATGGATGTTTGATGGAATTAAAGGTATTGCCACAGGATAAATCTGTGAGTCGTATTATTATTAGAAGAAGAGAGTGAAACTTTTTTCTCATCAATTTTTTGTGGGCTCCTAGAGATGTCAATGACAGGAGCTGTGGTGGTGCAAAGGTTAGAATGCAATATTGCAGGCTAATTCAGCTTACTGCCAGGGGTTTGACTCTGAGTGGCTCAAGGTTGACTCAGCCTCCCATCCTTCCGAGGTGGGTAAAATGAGGACCCGGATTGTTGGGGGCAATAGGCTGACTCTGTAAACCTCTTAGAGAGTGCTATAAAGCACTATGAAGCAGGATATAGCTACTGCTATTGCTATTTCTAAACAATTCTACACATAGAGACATATTAAATATACAGGCAAATCCAATGTTGGCTTCAAATACAAGATGAAAGTCATGACTCCAAGACATCTTATATAGATTAGTGATTAAGGTGTTAAAGTAGGAATGGACAGATCCAGGTTCTGATTCAATGGAAGTTAGAAGCATGGAAATTCAATGGTGGATTTTGGCCCAGTCACTTGCAGTTTAGCCTACCTCATAGAATTGTTGCTGTGAGGCAAAATTGGAGAAGGGAGTGTTATGTGTGCCAATTTGGCTTCTCAAAGGGAGAGCATAAATCAGTTGTCCATATATCTAAATACACACACATATAACATACAGAAACACACACACACACCCTAAAAACAAGGAAAAAGAGAAAATAATGAAATACATTAGAAATTTATTTCTTTTTTCTTTTTTTCAGTGTATTTATTTTTGGAAGTTTCTGTGAGTACAAATATAAGCAGCAGATGTAGAATTATTTATTTCTATAGATAATTCTCTCTCTCCCTCCTTCCCTCTTTCTCTCTCTGTCTCTCTGTCTCTGTCTGTCTGTCTGTCTCTCTCACACACACACAAACATAGTGCCACTATATACTATATATTTTCCTAAGACTGATCTCAGCCAAAACTTTTTTGATATATATAAATGATAAATGTTTCCAGGAGTAGTACACACTACTCCTGGAAACAT